CTCTTGCCTTGCAACGCAAAAAGGTCACATGAGTGCCGGAGATTAGGTTTTACTAGAGAGTAGCATACAAAGAAAAGAAGGAGGTGTGATAGAGGTGATAAGTGTTCAGTAAGAGAGAGGGAGTAAACCACACCGGAGCACTGACAACCACCCACTTTGTTGCGTTGATTGTGTTTTTATAAACACTTAAAACGTTTTGTCTAAATGCATGATGATGGTTGGAAGATGTGACTGGCAGGTTTACCTGTTAAAAAAAGAGAATCTAGTTTGAGAAAAATGTTACTGTTGGCCCAGTTGTGCCGGACACCATGGACATGTTCTTAAATTTGAGCTTTACTTGTGCTGTGTTTTTTAATGTTTATGTGTATTTTGTTCCAGAAACTATGCACTGGGGTTATCCAGTTTGCCTTCACCTGCATCCAGGAGCATGCTGTGTGGGGCAGTTTACAGTTCTGGGAGCAAGCCTTTTACCAGGATGTACAGATTCAGATTAGACAGCTCTACCTACCACTGGTGTGTACAGGAAAATTTCTTTCCTTCTCTATGTGCTCCAACATATATGTTTATTATACATTTTATAATAATCATCTATTAAGAGTAAATTTGGAATAGATCTTGACGCATATTTCTCTCCCCTTTTTCATTTGAACTCACTCTAATAATAAAATTGGTATGCGGTGCAGGGCAAAAAATTAACAACTGTTTGTTTTACCATTCACTAGGCCTATGGAAAACAATTCAGAATAAGAACAATTCGTATCATAAATATTACGGTTTAATGGAGAGGATGTGTTTTTAGTCAACCGTATCTTATAAGGTTGTTTTACTTTTGTCAGTATGAGGAACACGTGCTGATGAAGAGGTCCACAGACAGTGCCAGCATAGAGTCCCCTAATGGATCTGAGAACGGCAAGTCCTCCACTCTGGTGAAGCCTAGGCAAATTGGCGCACTAGAGATTACTGCTGAGCAGGTACGTTAGCATCCATATTTTTTTTGTTTGACCAGTTTGATAAGTTGTGTCTACTGACTGTCTTCGTGTTTGCAAATGCAGCATTGTAAATTTCAATCATTTTCACAACATCCGAGTGGCATCCCTGGTTAATGAAATGGAACTGCACGTGACAGATGAATAAAATTATTTGTACTTTTTATTGTTTTGTAAATTTGTCGGTTACTGTTTTTCGTCAGCTGCGTATCTGGCCCACTATGAGTGACGAGCAGCAGCGTGAGATGATCAACAACGAGGAGTCGACAGTGTACAGCCAGGCCATTCACTACGCCTATCGCATGGTGTACCTGCGGGTGCCGCTCGACGCTTCACGCTCCATGAAGAACATCGCCATAGACGAGAACAGCAGCACTGTCACGCCCAGGTAGGGGAAATATTCTTCTGTATTTTCTCTGTGTCTGTTCCTTTACTCTTGTCAAAATGAATGTCCTTCTTACCTCTATGTAACTGTCCACACAGGGGACGGTTTATGGGGGTGGGGGGTGTGGGGTTAGACAGAGTAATTGTACACTAGACTTTTTAATAACAGAACTGCATGCATACCTGTCCATAGCTGTACAAATATGACAATTGCTTTTTCTTTACATTAGACATAGTGTCTCAGCTTCAAAATGATCTAATTGAATTTCACAGATTTGTTACTACATCCACAACTTGCAGATTATTAGAAGTGCTAAGGAACCCCCCTGGGGAATGCTGCTCTCTGAAGTCACTTTAGGCTATTCCCAAAGGGGGGACATTAAAATGTTCATATGCACAGTAGAATTGTAAATGGGCTGATTCATCAATGCCATGCTCATAACTGTGCTTGAAATGCAATAGGGAACTGCTGCTTTTTCTTTCCTAATCCTATCGTCATTTTCCTCTACTTCTTTTGTGTGTTTGTCACACTCTTGTGACCCACTATTTCCTTGGTACCTTGATTGTCAAAGCAGACTTTGTGCTGTTGAAGCTAGAGAGGTGAGCAGAGTAAGCCTGATTCCCTGTATGGACTTCTCTGTTGATATCCACCCCTTGGCGCTCATATGACCTAATGCAGTTGCAAGGGCCGTAAACACTCAACTAAAAGAAGTGCTAAGTGTGTATAAACCCCCTGAAATCCTAGTTTTAGTATTATTTAATTCCCATTCATTTGTCTGGTTTTTATCTATTGTAAAGTGACCACATTACAGTTTTAAAAGTTTCTTGATCTGTGACACAGGCAAAAGAGTTAATGGAGAGTGAAGCTTTTTCTTGAATGCTTGTTGCCACAAAATCTTATTGATGCAGAAGTAGAAAGTTCAAGCGTGAAATTCTTTGTTCCAGCAGAAGCCTTTGCATTCAGAAACTTTTCATGTTGCTTCCAGTGTTGCGGAGAGTGACAGCCTGGATGCCGAGAGTGGTTTTGACGAGACGGAGCAAACAGATGTGGCTGCTGTGGTGACCAAGTTTGTGTCGCGGTTCGTGGACAAAGTGTGCAATGATGGAGGGGTCACTCAAGAGCATGTGAGGGCTCTGCACCAAATGATACCAGGTAGGTTCTCACATTGCTGAACTTCAAGTACTGCATGTCTGGAATTCTGAAAATGAGAGGAAAAAGAGGAAGCAACCACTTTCTCTGAATTATTTTTTTTCCTTCTGTTTTTGACAGTTGTATTTACTTTTTATGTTTTTGTATCTCTGTATGTTCATGATTGTTTTTCTTATTTTTCTTAAGGTTGAAGAATTATGTGAGGTGTTTGTGATTGTAACAACCTTCTTTTAGGACTTATTACCTTATTTAGACACTTCACAAACTGATTTCGTTCTTCTACCTGAAAGCAAGGTCAAAATGATTGGAAAAATGTCACCACTAGCATTTTAAAGTAAATTAGTGATAGGTGCATTAAAATATGCAGTGAAAGGTGTTATTAGCATATACCACCTTTAAAGACAAATAACTGACAACCAACAAGGCAGCGAGTTGGCAGACAATAATACAACTGATGAAAAGGGGAGAAATTTACTATTTATTCCCTGGGAAATAGCGAGGAGAAAGAAGATACTGTACTAACCATAGGGTATATAGTAATGCTCTTTTATGGGTTTCTAAGAAAAGATTGCAATGATGTGAGTCCTTCATACCCACAAACTATATCTGATGTTCATGACTGTTAAATGTTTTGTGTGAACATTTTTTTCTACCAGGTGTTGTTGCCATGCACATTGAGACTCTGGAGGCTGTGAACAGAGAGAGCAAACGCTTGCCCCCAGTTCAGAAGGTAATTAGGTTTTGTTTTGTTTTTTGCTGTTTTTACGCAGAGATGTTTTCATGCCAAGGTAAAAGGGTGAACAGAGATTTAGAGCAGGTGGCCTCAGATGCCATGACATTATTGAAAAATGTGCATGCTTTATATGCCAAATTTTTTCTGCTAGATTCCAAAGGGTAAAAATGAAAAGGGCTGAAGAAATGAGGTTTTTCTTTTTCTTGGCACTATTACAATCAGCCATTTTGTTACTGAATTTTTTAATGACATTTCTCAATTGTGCTTGATTAGGATATTGGAATGGGTTTATGGATTTTTTGTTAAATGATATGGTCTTTTTCTTTTTTTTCTCTTCAGCCAAAGATCATCACACCATCCTTATTGCCTGGAGAGGAAGTGGTCATGGGAAAACTGCGAGTGTATCTGCTGCCTGATGGCCGTGAGGAAGGAACTGGTGGCAACATGGGAGGCCCATGCCTGCTTCCTGCGGAAGGAGCCGTTTTCCTTACAACATACCGCATTATATTCAAGGGCACACCTTGTGACCCATTCGGTGAGCTGTAAAGAAGTAATGTGTTTAGTAGATTTGTATTTCTCTTGGTTTTCAACTTTTAGGTGCGATTATTTTCATTTTTAGAGGTGTGGGGTTAATGGTTTTCTTTTTGTTCATAATAGTTTTTTCCTTTGAAGAAGGGGGAACTATGTCTAACGTAATATTGATAGAATGCTCATAGTAACACAATATAGGAACTATGTCTAACGTAATATTGACAGAATGCTCATAGTAACACAATATGAAATCTGCCTATGCCAGTGTCAAGGGTTAAGGGTATTCTTCCCAGGAGATATGTCCCCATGTTTACTTTGATATTTTGAAATGAGTTGCTTTCGGCAAAAATTTGTATTGCATAAGTATTACTTGAGGGATGGGATTTATACTAATTTTAACTAGTTGTGTTGTCTTCCGAGTCCACACCATTAGCACTTCCCGTTGTTACTTCAAAGAATGAAATTAAAAATTGTTTCTATTTTCCTTTCAGCCTCCGAGCAAGCAATACTTCGCAGCTTTCCAGTATCTTCCCTCACTAAGGAAAAGAAAATTAATGTTCAGATGTACCTGTCCCATCTTGACCAAGGTTTGCAGGAAGGATTACAGTTACGCTCTAATGTATTTCAGGTTGGTTTTCCTTTATACTTTTATCAAAGTTTGTAAACTGCAAGAAGGTTCTCACCACAGTTTGAGTTACTTCTCAAGTGAATTTCTGAGGCAGCATGTATGTTACTGCATTTTTTATATGATTTTTTAAATGAGTGACATGTCTTGTATTGAACAAGCAAGAGCAGAGATTGCTCGAAAGAACCAAAATATTGTTGCTATTACCAATCAAGTGTATTTGTTGGTGTATTCTTTGCTGTAAAGCACAATCAGCTGTCATAAGTTGCCCAGATGAAATCCTTTCCGTATGTGAGATGTGTTATTTGTACACTGTAGACAGTTTCTGTAGAACAGGAATAGCTGAGGTACGTGAAAGGTTTCTGAATAGTCTAGCAACAGTTTTGTCCTCAAAGGTTAACAACATTCCCAAAGGGAGGATATTGACATGTTCTTATGCACACTAGAATTGTAAATGGGCTGATTTATGAATGCCATGCTCATACTGTGCTGGAACAACATTAGGGGGAATTGCTGCTTTTTCTTTCCTCATCCTTACTGTCGTCATTTTCCTCTACTTCTTTTGTATGTTGAGAGCACAGTAAAACCTTGCTAAAACGGAAAAAAACCAAATTGTAAATTGTTTATTTGTAAAAGAATGTGAACATATAATAATCATCATTAGAGCTGTTTTATTATAATAATGCCATGTATTTTGAACTTTTATTTGTCAGAGGGGTGGGCAAGGTTTCTTCTATTATATCGCCAGAGAGGCAAAGAATTGGCAGTGCATTGTTGTTTATCACCTTTGTCTCCTCCCCTATCCCTATTTGTCTCCATCTTTTTTTCTTGTAGTTGCTGAGAATTGCCTTTGATGAAGAAGTGACCTCTGATGATATTGAAGCTTTCCGTAAGTTGGTGAACAAGGTGCGCAACCCTGCCACAGTGTACAGCACTTTTGCCTTCACTGGCTACGCCGTGCATGCGTCCACACAGATGCAAAAGAACAAAGAGAAGAATGCATCATTAAGGTATGATAGTGGTGCCAGCCATCTTGGGACATGCTTTGTTTGGAGTTTGATTTTGCTGTGTCACTAATGCGTTTGTTTTTTTAATTTTAAAGTGGAAGAAATCCTGTTTGTACCATAATCAAAGAGTGTTGGGTCTTTTGATACGGTTTGAATTTGTTATCATCTCTATGTTGTCCTTATTTTGTAAGGACTGCATATTCTATCCCTGCTTAGTCTTTCGTTCCTTACCTCAGTTTTTCTGTGCTTGGTTATCACCATGCTCTCAAACTAGTCCGCATAATTTGAAGACTTGCAAGTCACTGGTGCCTTATTTAAATCTAAATATGTGGTTGCTTCTTTACTTGGGTGAGTAGGGGGTAAGGGGAGAATAATCTTGAATCAAAGGTTGCATTTTGAGAGGTGTGTCTCTCAGCTGCTTTCTCATTTTATCGGATGGTTTGTGTATATTTTGTATGTCTTTAACTGTGTAGTGAGGAGTTTGTAAGTAATTGGGTGTTCTTGTGCAGTCTGCTTCATTTATTTCTTGTCAGGATTGCGAACATCTTTATGAGCATCATGTAAAATGTGACTGTTCTTGAGCTGCCTCTCTGTAAAATACAAGAACTTTATAGATAGTTCTTTGCATGTCTTATCTTTAGTTAGGGTAGACGTCACTTTCTAAACTGGTAAAAAATTCAAGAGTGTTTCTAATCCTGGGGTGTACTTTCAGGCAATTTGCAAAGCGCACCCTCCTGAAAACAGCACGAAAAGCTGGCCTGAAGAAGCACAACCGCAACAAGCCCAAGTATTCAATAACCAGCCCTCCGACTTCAAGACGAAGTGGCAACTCATCCCCCCACTCAACAGACAGCGAATCCGAGTGTGCAGGCAGCGTCCACAATGATGATTTATCAGGTAATTTCATACACACTCTTTACTGTGCATCTATTAATGTGTAAGTGATGTAAAAGTACAAAGGCAAGTCTCTGTGTAAGTGTGCTTGTTGGTGGCCTGCATACTCTTTGTAAATCAATTTCTGTTTCTTTGCATTTTAGAATCGCTTTATGAATGAGCGCTTTGAGGTTACAGCCCAAATTGTTGGGTGTTTTTTTTAGTTCTAAAATTTATTCCCTCACTTAATAATAGAATATAAATAAAGTATAATTAGTCTTAGAATGTATACAGTCTGTGACAGAACTAATATGCTTTTTCTTATTCATCAGAGTGGGCATGCCAGAAAACACTCTCTCTTTTTCTCTGTCTTCCACTTCTGCCCCTCCCCCGACAGTAAGTCCCTTTTCATCCCCAGTGATAGACGAGAATGAGCTGATTCCGTCTTACTCAAGCGACCCGAAGAACGTGGAGCGCCTGATGGAGAGGCACGCCTACCAGGACTACCAGCGCTTGGGTCTGGGGAGTGTGGCCATGTCGGGCCAACGAGGTGGACGGTCAGAACCTTTCAGGGTCTCCACCGTCAACTCCACGTTCCAGTTGTGTAGAAGGTGCTTGGCTCTTTTGTTTTTGTTCAACACAAGTTTTGTGTAGTATTTCTTTTCATGGTAAAGGTTCAGTCGAACCTGCTTTAAAGGCTAGCTATATAAGAGTTGCATCTACAAACAGCCCCTTTCCATTTCCCAATTGCATTATTTTTACATTATAGTGACACTGTGAAAGACCTCCACTTTTCTCCTCAATAATGGACCGCTGTGCCATTTACTGGAGGATTGACTTGAGAGCTATAAAAATTCTCGTCTACTCCGGTCCTGTTTTAGAATCTGATCGTTCACCCACTCCTTTGGCCTGTGCCTTATCAATGACTTTTGTTTCCTTCTGAGTACATATATTCTTTGGTTAGGGTTTCAGTTGGAGAAATGGGCTTGAGATTTAGCAGCTGTGGATGTTGGGGAAAGCTATAAAGATTCAGTAAGACTTTAAAATTTAGGTTTCTGGACATTGCATTTTGACTTGAGGCCTATGTTTGAGCGGTGGAATGCTAAATTTTCAATTTTCAATGTGATGGGGGAGGGGGGACGCAAATGAAAGTACTCAAGACTTGTCTGTGGAAACTGTTTCTGTCTCCAGAAACTCATGACTCACATAAAACAACTTTCTCTGGCTTTACGATTCTGTTATATCACACTCTTTTGACTTGTGCTGAACCATTTACTGTTCTAGAAAAGTCCGTTGCTTCTGTAATATTAATACAACCATAATGTGTTTCAGCTATCCGGGGCTGCTAGTCGTCCCCCAGTCTGTATCTGATGAGAGTATACGCAAGTTCTCCCGTTGCCACAGACAAGCCAGGTGAGTGGTCGCTCTCGAGGAACTAGTGTTTTTTTGTGTGTGTGTTCTGTTACAGTGTGTGTGTGCTTATTCTTTTGTAAGGAATGTTATTGATGATCTGTAGAAAGCTTGCATGTTAAAAGTTTACCCCAGATTTGGTAGAGTAATGTGGTAAAGTTGACTTGCAAGCTTGTTACTGGTTTTCTTCCGCTCCAGATTATGCCATTCCCATAGGTGCTAACCAGTACGTAAAAAAAACAACCTATTGAATACGTTTTCCAGAGTCTGAGTAGGAAAGTCCATTTTCGTCTTGGAAAATTTATTTACTCTCTTCTCTAATATTGCTCCCCACGGACTTGCCAACGCTAAAGAAAAAATGTAAACTTTGAAGGCTGGATTGGCAAATTGGCAAATAACAGTGCTTCCACTCTACCGTATTTTTACGGAAATCCGTACTTTCTGCTAGTTCCGTACTTGTTCCTCCATTATTATCAACTCCCTTTGTAAAAATCTGCGACAGCGTAGGACTATCGAAATTCCGCGGCAAAAGATCCATACTCGCCTTCGTATCGTCTTGTATAAGTTACGGATCTTTACGGTAATTCTCTCGCGGAAAGTTTGTTGTAGAATCCTGGCAGATTGCGCATTTCCTGCCATTGGCCATTATTCCGCTATGCCCCATGTATTCATTACGGGTTGGTTGGCGGTACATGTTTTACCTGCAGATTGATCAAAATCTGACGAACTTTTTGTGCCACTTTCCTCCTTTCTATCATTCCCTCATTCCGTCTGTCTATCTTTGGATTGTTGCCGCGGCTGGAAAATCTGCGCGTTGATCAAGTATATTGACATGTGATCTTAGACAGAAAATTACTGTCAGAAAGAAACTCTTTTGCAAATTTATTGTCTAGTCTAGAGAAATTATCAGTGTGAAGATTCTACGGCACGGGAACGCGATGAAAGAAATTTGTGCTAAAACTACTAAAATCAAGAATAATTCGAAGTGGTTTTCCGAGGTTGTGACATGTGATATTCAGAAGTGAAAATTGAGGAAAATTATGGTATACGCTGGGTAACTGTATTGTGAAGGTACATATCTATTCATTATTCCCAGGTTTGCCTTCTATCAATGGTGCGATGACAAATTAATTGAATTACGGTAGCAATGGAAGGGGAACCTGCTTTTGAACATTGCCAGCAATGGAAAGATGTGTTGATGAAGAAATCAAACAAGACAAAATCTTGGTGAAAAAATAGGTAGTATGGGTTATTGGCAATCTCTTCAAACAGGCTCCCAAATGCCATTTTCAACCATCTAAAAGTACTAAATTTCAATTTCTTCGGGGGCTTCACCTCCCTGAACTCCCGTCGGGACTCTGTCCCTGGACCCTGCTGGGGGCCTCCGCGCCCCCGACAGAATTGTCCTTAATTTTCAGCTTTAGCTGGTGGAAGCACTGAAATAATGTGAACGAAGCCAATAAGTCTATTTAAGTTATGTCTTTTACCAAATTCACCTACTAAACATGAATTTATTGAATGCAGAAAAATGTGTGTGAAGAGTGTGGAGGGGGTTACTTGGACAGTGAACCATCATGGTCCACCATGTGGGTAGAGTCTGTTTTTTGGTTTTAAAAGGTCGGCAGCTATGCATTCTCAATTTAGCATACAGTAATGTGAGGAAAATTCATGTTAGATGTCTTTCTTGTTTAGTCCAAATTTTGCTTGGATTGGAATCAAGTCCCCATTCTCTTGTTTGCTAATAAAACAGTCTTGTACTTTGCCAAGAAATAAGTCAGGGCTCTTAATTCTGTCATGCTTTCTATTTCAGGAAAGAAACGCCTTTTTTTTCCTTTAAAGATAATTGTTTCAGTATTGACTACCCAAGACTTTATTTTTGTTTTTTCTTCTACAATGGAAAGTAGTTTTTTTTTGTCAAAGAATAGTTGTACTGCCAATTTAAATTGTACTCCTCTCATTTTTGTTCCAAGAAATGTTTTAAAAATCTTGGAAAATCATGTATGAAAAAAAACGTTTATTTCAAATGAATTGGTTTGATTAATGTGATGGATATATTTTGACGTGCTGTCTTAAAAAACAGAGCAAGCTTCAGTCACGGCCTTATGATATTATTATGTTGTTGGGTTTGGTTGGTTTTTCTTCTTTTTTTTGGGGGGGGGGGGGGGGGTCCCCTATATAGTTCCTGTCTTGGGGGAGGGGGGGGGGGGTCCCCTATATAGTTCCTGTCTCCTAGAATGATTTTTGTGATCCTGTAGTGATTGTCTCTCATCTCCAGGTTCCCAGTAATCACTTGGCGGCACCCAAGAACACGGGCTCTTTTGCTGCGTGCCAGTGGCTTCCACTCTCGTGGCCTCATGGGTATGCTGAAGCATAATGCAGCTCCTAGTGAGTCATTCTTGATACACATTCCAGTTGATGATTTTAAGGATAAAATGTTAATTTTCTTTTTAAAAAGATATATTATCGAGGTGCGGATCAACACTCATATTACTGATATTGTGTCAATATGTTCTCACGTAGATTTTCTTTCTCTTAAAACTAAATACCCAGCTTTAAAATCCAAATGCTTATTTGTCCATCTTTCTCTCCTTCTAATTTTTTGGGGGGAAAGTTCTTTGATATTTTGAATCAATCAGTATCTTCTTACACTTTTAATCTGATTTTCATTTATTTGATGTATCAGTGTGGCAGTGCTGGTGGATCTGGATTGGTTGTTGCTAGTCTTCATGATGTGTTGCAGGTTGAAATCTCAATGATGTGTTAATTTTTTTCTTTCTTCGTGGACTTTTTGCTCTCTGTCCCTTTACCAGGATGGGACCAGGTTTTTTTCCTTTCAAATGAAATGATCTATTCTGTGTTTAGTAGGGTATAGAACAACCAAGAAACATAATAATAATAATAGATAGCATTTGTATAGCGCATATCCCCGCTCAACAGCAGGCTCTATGCGCTTTACACTATATTATTACCCTAGCAGACCATAGTACACTCCGAAACATTCTCAGCTTCCCGGGAAGCATACAATGCGAGCAGCCGATTAAGCGCTCAGACACTAACAAACTGACAAGATCTTTCGCAGTCTATAGCCGGGTACCTATTCCCACCTGGGTGAAGTGAGGAAAATTCGTGTAAAGTGCCTTTCCCAAGGACACAACGTCGGGCCCTTGACGGGATTCAAACCCACGACCTTACGGTTGCGAGTCCGAGAGCCTAACCACTAGGCCACCGACATAGACCAAAGTCATTTGCGTAGAATGATAAGTTTTTTAAAGTTTTGTTGGTTCTCTTCCCTTCCCAAATTTTCAGGTGTTTTCCATGGTGAGGTGTCCTCCATTCTCGTCTTCTTTTTCATGTCTTCTTTTTCCTCAAAGTTATTATAAGTAAAGCCTTATGTTAGACTTTTTTGGCGCTATCCTTCCTTGCTTTCAAATTGCTTGGGTATAGGGTGTTCTGGTCTGGTCTGCAACTTGTACTTTTTTAAAATGATGCTCTGATTCTCTCAATCTCTTGCCTGGTATAATGTTATTGTTAAGGTTGCTGACTCCATAGAGACTCCAAATTTTCAAACTGCTATATAAATTTGTGTACACCTTGACATTCACTCCTCTTCTCCCAACACACCTGTTGGTATCTATGTGACTTGTATGGTGGATTGTCCTTCCTATGTGCAGGCTGGTAATGTTTGAATATAGTTTGCTCCCCTGCCCTCCCACCCACAGGCCTTTACAGTCTAGTAATGTGGGTGGTTGACACCTTGGTGTGGTTTGCCCCTTCTTTCCTATCAAACATCTATTTTCTTTGTCTCTCCTCCATTTTTTCTTTGTATGTTACTCTCTTGTAACACTCAAACCTGTGGCTCTATGTGACCTAATTGTGTCACAAGTGCACTTGAAATCTTACTGTAGTGTCTTTTTCTCCCCTGCTGCCCTACTTGCAGGCCTTTACAGTCTTGTAATGTTTGAGTGTCTTTTGCCTCCCCCATCTCCCACTGTCCAGGCACATCGAGTGGCGAAGCATCGTCGAGCATCGAGCAGGAGAAGTACTTCATGCTGCTGGTGGCGGCCACGCCCAGCAGCCACCGCAGCAGCAACAATGCGCTGGTCAACTCGGCCAGCGACTCTCTCACCTCGCTCGACTCCCTCATGATGATCGGGGTGGGCGGGGAGTCCCTCAACATCATGCCCACCACTCCTGAGCCCCTGCGGCACACAGCCTCTAGTGGTGGCAGTGGCGCCGGTGGTGTTGTCAGTGGTGGTGGTGGCGTGGTGGGAGGAGGCAGTGGAGCTGGTGCTGTTGGTGGTGGGAGAGGAGAGGCACTGGATAAGAGAGTGAGCGCACCACCAGGTCCTGCTAGTGCCACCAAGGCCAAGACTGCATGTAAGTATCCGTGGAGCTGTGGCTAATATTTGTGGGGGTTTTTTTGCAAATTTTCAAATACTTGTTATTCTTATTTTACTGATTCATTCTTCTATCTGTTTTCAATGTGATATTCAGCCACCTATTTTTTTATGCTCGTCAATCTCTCACTTGTTTGCTTTTTTCTTTGCTGTTTCGGGGGGGGGGGGGGGATAATTTTTTAGAACATTTCTTTTTTCTTTGTTCTTGTTTGTTTTTTTATGTTTTTAGGGCAGTCACAATTTTTGTGTGTTTTTTCCCCTGCATTTCCCCTGTTTACTTTACTTACCCTGCGTAAATTTGCCTGGTTTTTGCTTATCTGGTACTTCACACTCAGTTTCTCAGATCCCTGTTACCATTTTGTTTTGTGTGAAGTTCCAATCCCCGCTTTTCTACCTTTATTGTGCATAAAATGGCTCAGTTTCTTGCTGTGGTGAGGTTCCCTCGTGCAGCTTTTTTCTTTGATCCAATAAATATGATTTCAGTGTTAATAATATAGCAGAACATGTATAATTTGTTTGAGAACAAGGAGAAATGGGAGCCTGTCAGGTGGTGTGTGGGTAGATGGTAGGAATTCTGGTGAAATCAGCTTCAAATGGTAAGACAATCTAATGCAACATTTGCATTTTTAACTTATATGGGATTGAAAACAGGGAGCAATGGGTAGCTACATTTATCTTTTGTCATCCTGAGGTGGCTTTGATTGCCTTTTGCGTATTTCTTTTCTTTTTTTTTCCTTCCCTTTTTATTTCAAAGATGTCCTTTTCTTTTTAGCTAGGCTGTCTTTATCTTTGCACTAGCATATTTCTTTCGTTTTACAACTGTCCTTTTTTTTTATATGGGTTTTTTTTCTGGTGGTTCTCACAATGGCAATTTAGATGTCAGTGTTTCCCCTCTTTTTCTTATATTTTGCATTGTGGAGCTAGTCGCTTAAAGGAAAAGCTTCTTGCAATGGTGCAATGTTCCACACCCTTGCTTTGGTTTGTGATCCCTGATATGTCCAGCTCAGTGTGTGTCAAATTTTCTGTTTTCGTTTTCCCATCTCATCTATAAAATATCCTCTATTCTCTTTGTTTGTCTTTTGAAACTTTTTTTCTTTGTACCTGATACGTTTGTAGAGCAAACATTCTTTACTCAGTTAACCGTGATATGATTTATGGTATCTTATTTAAGATTCTTAATGTTTTACTTTCAATAACTTTTCTCATGGATTTAACTTAAACGCTTTTGTAGATACTAGGCTTTTTAGTGTCACATTTTTTTCCATTTTTCTATACAAATAGAAAATGTCAACATTTTTTCGTATCTGTGTGTTTTGTCTTCTCTTTGCTATTTTATTTACTTCTGTGATATAGGTAGGTTCACAGGTGTGGGGTGATCAAAATTCTTTCTAGAATCAGGACATGGGGATCTCGTAGTGTTACTTTATGTTCAGAAGATTTTGCTTTTGCTTAATACTGCATAGTCAGACTAATTCCTTGATAGCGTTATTGAAACAGGCATCTTCCTCACATGTCCAGAAGACTTTATGCGAATGACATTGTGAGTGCAAAATGAGACAAGATATGGGTTGTGTTTCTAAGATGGATTTATGTGACAATGTGTGAAGAGCTCCATGACAAAATATGTAATGAACAGGTCACAAAAAGTCTCATGGCCAGCTTTTTTTGTTGTTGTCATACCAGTTTTTATCACTTACGCTTTTTTTTGTAGTTTGTGTATCAAGGTCTAAAGGGATGCCACTGGGAGGTCATACTTCTTTTTTTTTTTCTCTTCTGTTGCTCATTGCTCATGTCTGTCTGTTTACTTTTCCCCTGCACTAAATGACTATTAGTGTGTCAATGTGCTTCTCTTTACTCAAACTAAAACTCATGGCCTATGTAGAGTTCTGTGGAGAAAAGATTGTGACAACCAGGGCACCCCTGGTAGGTCGTACTTCTTTACTTTCTCTCTGTTGTTTCTGTCTGTCTTACTTTTTCCCATCACTAAATAACCATTATTGTGTCAATGTGCATTTCCTTACTCAAACAAACAAACAATTTGATGGCTAATAAACTGTTGCTTCCGTGGCAGGAAAAAACATCGACCATAACCGTTTAAGTTTGCAGGGTCGGTCACATAATGCAATGCATTTTGTAGTGGAGCCCTTCGTTTTATTCCTTTTTTTTTCTGTGTTGGCTTTACGTGTCATGACTCCTTGTACTGATTTCAGTTTTGACTCTGCCTCGACGTGTCAGCAGACCAGGGCCATGTAATTTTCCTTTCTCCCTTTGTGATTAGTTAAGACTGTGCTGTTTTGGTATATTATCATGAGTTCTTGTTGTGGTCCTGGGCAAAGATACGAAAGAGAATTTTGTTAAGGAGTCCGATAGTGCTTTTTTCTTTGTTCAGTGGGCTTATGAAGTCCTTTGAGACACCAACAGCAAAAGAAAGTGTTTCTCTTTAAATGTCTACACCCAGGACAGCAACGCACTGCATCTTTTACAAAACAACAACTGACTGCATGAAGTACTGATGTGTGACAATTGTCCTCCTAGAGCACTAGTTGCCATCATCTACCTCTCTACAGCTTTGGGATGGAGGGAAAGAGGACTTGGTTCCTTTTCTTGGTGTATTTGCTTAATTGTATATCAGTGTTCTGCGGGACATCAGCCGGCTGCTTCTCTTCATAAAGCTTTCTCAAATTATGTATCATTTGCATGATAAGATTTGTTTCCTGTGTGCAGTACAGATATTATTGCTATCCTCTTGAGATTTTGCGTGCAAGCTTCTTTACACTTTTTTTGTTGTTGCTCAATTAATGTTTGTTTGTTTTTTAAGATCAATTTTATATTGTTTAAACTTGGTTCTTTTTAAGATTTGTGAAAGTAATTTGGAATTGTTTAACTTTTATGTTTAAAAGCTTCTCTGCCTGGACAATAATAGCTCATCAGTATTCAAACCATTTGTAATCTGCTTGTTTGAGGTTGTATCGTGGTAGCAAATGCTCTGTATGTTGTGCTGCTTTGTGACCTCCTGTATAATGCTGTGTAACTGTCAGTCTTTCTGTTTGTTTGAATGCACTGAATGTCATCTTGTCTGGCCTTTGTCTGCACCTCTTAAAATATTCTAAAGCTGAATCAGTGTACACTGTGGTATATGTATATATACATGGAGTATGTTTGGTGCATGCTCTTGGGAGTGGAGTTTTGATAAGAACAGATTATGTTGTCAGGCTACGGTTTCATTGTTTAGTAAGTTAATGTTATTGGAAATATACTTTTTATATAGTCAGCTGCTATCTCTAAAAGAATGTCTTCGGAACAGTTTATGTGTAAAAATATTACTTTTTTTAAATACTTAAAAATGCAAAGCAGACTGTTACATGATACGGATGGTTCCTTGGTTTGTTCTTTTTATTTCTGTGTGTTTCTGGTTTTGGGTGGGGGTTTTTAATGCTTGTCTTTTTTCTCCTCCCAGTCTCGTATGACAATCATTTTTGTCCCTTTTGCTGTTCTGTTGGTCTGGTTTTCTTTTTTCTTGGTACAGCTCTTTCTGGTTTTCCCAGTTGCTATCTTATAGTGGCGTATGTATGTTGCTGACTTGATAATGGTTGAGAATTAATTCTTTTATGGAATTGGACTTTTGTTTCCTTTTTTGAAAGATGTTCTGTTATCTAATGTTTGTAGAGGACGTCAAGTACTCCAAACTTAGAAATCAGATCTTGTGGAGTTTGTCAACTTTGTTAATTGTTATCAGATATTTCCATTCACTTTGGTGGCTGCTGCTGAGTTGAGTGACTTAATTTGGTTAATCTAAGCAGGCCTGTGAATATGAATAACCCAGTACCAACCACGCAAAGCATCTTTCCCCCCTCCCCCCATCCATTGATTGGTTGCCATTCATATATCACCTGACTAGAAAGGGAGGGGGGGGGATGTAGATGTAACCTCTTTGTTCAGTCCTGACATTGTCTTTGGTCCAGTTGTCTTTGTTTAGATATGTTGGCTGAGGGTTCGGAAATGTATTCATACATACTCAACTACATTTCTTCAGTGTCATTATCGCATAGCCAGAAGTTGGAAAAAAACTCACCTTTAGGATTTGTGGGTTGTTTAGCAATGCTAATGTGTGCAGCTCTCCTTTCATTTTTCTACATTGTTGTTGTTCTGGGCTGAAAAGGGCAGAATTCATGCTCTCTGTTCACAAAGTACTGCTCAATTCATCGAATTCCCTGTTTTGATGAAATAAAAAAGATGAAGCATGTTGTGATTACTACTATATATTGTATAGTAATCTAACAGTATGTCTCCTGTAGTCTAGGATTCAGAACTCGTAATGCATAATTTAGTTGCGAAAGTGTCTGTTGTCGACTGCTATGAGTTGGATGTTGTTCATTGTCTATAATGAAATTATTCAAGGAATTAAATTAACATTATTTTAATGTTATTTGTGAAGCACTAACATAAGTTCTGTAGTTGTCATCATAGCTATTTTGGGCTTTGTATTTAAAAGAATGTTGTTTGCGTAGAAAGGTGCCACTTTGTGTCTAACAAAACACTGACCTCTGCAGTTACTTCAGTGCTTAAAGTGAGGCAGGTGCAGATTGCAGCAAACGTTTTAGAAAGTGCCCAGCCTCTAGCTTTTGGAGATATTTAGTTCTGTTCTTAACAATGACTCTGATGAAGAGTAGATCTATGTCTTCATTTAAGATGGAATGTATTGTTTCCTCTATTGAGATTTAGTTTTTTTGCCGCACTTTTGTTTTGCTTTTAAATGGTAAAAAGCCATAGTAGATTGGCTTAAAAGGAGAGATTATAGAGCTATTGCTATCTTTTATTAACTTAATGTAGAATTTCCACTTATACAGTAACCCAGACCTATCTCTACATCTCCGTTTTTTCCTTTGTAGTCCATGTTTTGTTAATTTTCTTGCTCTGACAAAACTAGTACTCTGAGCAGGCACTTGTTTGCAATGATGTTTTTGCGGGTTTAACAAAAAATAGTGCTTCAGCTTTCCATGATTCAGCTTTCCATAATTCTCCTGTATTGATGTAATCTCTTACTGAGATGTGTCTGTGTTCCCAGCTGTGGGGAGAGTAGGCAGCATGAGAGAGCGATCACCCAACCTCAACATCAGGTCTCGCACCTCGAGAGATCCCAGCCACGGCAACTTGGTGGACAACAGCATCAAGAGCCTGCATCACGTGGCCTTGTATGTGCTGGGGGAGAAAGCGCAGATGAAGGTCAGATATTGGATATAACAGCTGAAATTGTCCAAGACGACAGCCATTGTCTGGAAAAAATGTGGCTGTTTTAGACAGGTGGATGTCTTGGGCAGTGTCATAATGGTGTAGAAAAAAATACAAGAAGGGAAGTGGCCGTTTGCACAAGTGTTTGTCTTGGACAGATGGCCAGAAGAGCAGGCTTGACTGTATTTTATTATGTCTGTAGCAAGATGACAAATAAGGGTATTCAAAAAAAAATAAAATGTTTGAACCCTACTAGTAGGTGGAAACAGTATCTGTCTAGCTGCTTTGGAGTCATGAACATATGGCTTCTGAAAAAATCTAGGTTTTGCACAATATCTCGAAAACAGCTGAGAGCGATAAGCAACGCATTTGGTTGCATGATTTCAGATTTATGCCCCACTTTGTCACCCCCATTAATGATGATATAAAAAGCTGTTCAAGTGAAAATTTGTTGTGTTCCATCCTCTAGTTATGTGGTAATAAAAGACCGTCCATCTCGAATGATGTCATAAAAACCAAACCAATTCAAGACCTTGAAATGTTTAGATATGAGTCATAACACATTCAGCTCTAAGTAGCTAAGCCAGCTTAATGAAACAGTACAACTATTTTTGTGAATGATCGCACAGCAGCTACTGGTGCTGCCCCTGCTTCTGCTTGTGCTACTATTACTGTTGCTACTGATAATGTCACTACTGTACCTTCTTCTACTTTTCCTGTTTCTGGTAGTCCTGCTTCTACTACTGCTACTGTCTTTGCTACTGCTGCTTCTGTTACTGTCTCTGCTATTTCTGCTTCTACTTCAGTTATTTCATGGGTGGTTGGAGGGCACCACCGGTAGGTCCTATGTCCTGTCTTTCCCTCTGTTATTTCTTTCTGTCTTGAGTATTCCTTTCACTATTTGACTGTTATTATATTAATTTGCTTCTCTTTACTTAAGCTCAATCTCAGTAGTTTGTTGCTGCTGTTACTGCCTCTGCTAGTCCTGCTTCTACTTCTCCTGTTTCTGCTATTTTGCTCTACCACTGCTTCTGCTACTCCTTCTCTGCTGTTTCTACCTTTCCTGCTTCTATTACTGCATTTATTACTGCTACTTCTACTACTACAGCTACTACGTCTTGCATTAAGGTTACCACTACCTTTAGCCCAGCAACTTGTTCTACTTCTGCCTCTACATTTACCACTATCACAACTACCGCTACTACTGTTGTTGTTGCTGATGCTGTTGCCTCACTACTAGTACCACTGTCACCAACATAACCATCTTCACCCTTGTGTTTGTTTGGCGTCCTCCTCCTCAGGGCATCAAGATGGAGTCGTTCCCCAAATGTGACTTCATCCCCGTGGACTTCTACGAGGTGCGCCAGGTCAAAGCCAGCTTCAAGAAACTGATGCGAGCCTGTGTACCCAGCAGCCCACCCAGCCACCCGGAGCACAGCTTCCACAAGGCTGTGGAGGACTCAGAGTGGCTGCTGCAGGTCGGTAGATGTGTCAAAACAAAATTGAATATGTACACATATGTACTCAAAAATTGCATATGTTGAGATATGTTGGCCTACGCAAAAAAATTATAATTGTAGATGACTCAATACCCCCTCCTAAGATACTAACTTACCTACCTATGTCGTACTCACTAGACACAGTCAAACTGAAGAAGTTTGTTTTAAATTTTACGCTTGAATTGGTAGACTTGGAGGCTCTCCAGTTCTTTGACAAAATCACAAATTGAATATATTTAAAGCGTTAGCATAAGATATATAGTTTTACATTTCAGGTGTCACCCTTCTTTAACACACACACACACACACACACACACGCGCACACACACACACACACACACACATAAACACACTCGCACATAGAGAGAGAGAGAAAGAGAATGACTCTCACCCTCTTTCGTGATTTTCTCAAGTGATTCAGCGTTTACAGCTTCCATAGTTCATTCAAAAGACAATACACCCCTCCCCCCTCCCCATGATGTGTAACTCGTGTACACCATTTTGTTGTTTCAGCTCCAGAGTGTTCTGCAGCTGGCAGGAGCCATCGTGGACCTGCTGGACCTACAGGGCTCGTCTGTCATGGTCTGTCTAGAGGACGGGTGGGACATCACCACTCAGGTACTGACTGCTGACTCTTTGAATTTGTGACTCTGAAGTTTTTGTTTTATGACTTTTAGTATTTTGTGTTGTTTCCTAGATATAGAATGTGTTAAGATTTGATTTTTTTAAAACAACAATTGTTCTTTTCTCTTTTGGCCTTCAAAAGTATTTCTTTGATTTAACCACTGACCTCTTTATTTTTATATTCCCTGACCCCCGGGGGCAGTGCCACTGACTGTAGTGTCTTTAGGCCATTCCCAATGGGGGGGCATTTCTCGTTCAAGCACAGTAGAATTGTAAATGGGCTGATTCATGTCACGCTTTTAACTGTGCCTGATCTACAACAGGGAACTGCTGCTTTTTCTTTCTTAATCGTTACTATTGTAATTTTCCTCTACTTCTTTTGTATGTTTGTCACTCTCTTGTGACATGCTTTTTCCTGTGTGCCTTGATAGTCGAAGCTGACCTTTTGCTGGTGAAGCTAGAGAGGTGAGCAGAATAAGTCTGATTCCCTGTAAAGACTTCTCTGTTGACACCCACCCCTTGGCGCTCATATGACCTTATGCAGTTGCGAGGGCTGTAAAGCCTTCTACTATTTAAAAAAAAAATTATATTCCCCAACTTGTCAGTTCTGTACTTCAGAACCCCCTGGGGTGGTGCTACTGACTGAATTGTCTTTAGGTCATTCCCAAAGTGGGGACACTAACATGTTCATATGCACAGTAGGATTGTAAATGGGCTGATTCAACAATGTCATGCTCATAACTGTGCCTGAACTTTAAAACAGGGAACTGCTTCTTGTTTTTTCCTAATCCTTACTATCGTCATTTTTCCTCTACTTCTTTTGTTTGTTTGTCACACTCTTGTGACCCGCTATTTCCAGGGTGCCTTGATAGTCGAAGCAGACTTTGTGCTATTGAAGCTAGAGAGGTGAGCAGAGTAGGCCTGATTCCCTGTAAAGACTTCTCTGTTGACATCCACCCCTTGGTAATCATAGGACCTTATGTAGTTGCGAGCGCCGTAAAAACTCTACTAAACTGAACTACTAAAACTAAGAATACTTCAGCTACGTTTTTTCCACTGTCTTATATTGCTTACCTCTGCCTGTCCCAGGACTGGAGAGCATCCAAGTCTATCCATTCAAGCTTAAAACTTCTTGACTTTCCCTCTGCTGTTTCTATTAGTTTGTCTTTCTTTTTCCCAGCACTAAATGACTGTTATTGTTTCAATGTGCTTCTCCTTATTCAAACCAACGAACAAGCTTACATCTGAACGTTTGTTTGTGATTCCTAGGTGATGTCGGTGGCTCAAGTCATGATGGATCCTTATTACCGCACAATGGAAGGTTTCAAGACCCTCATTGAGAAAGAGTGGCTGGGCTTTGGTCACCGGTTCAGCCACCGCAACAATCAGACGGCAGCCACGCAGACTAGTGGCTTTGCTCCCATCTTCTTGCAGTTCCTAGACATTGTCCACCAGGTATGGATTTGGGGTTTATATGATGTTATGAGTTTACAATTTCGTGTCCAGTCATGTTCTTATCTATAAACAACAACCACCACCCCCCCCCCCCCCACACACACACACACACACCCGCATGCACACCCATCTTGGTCTTGACCATTGTTTGAGACAAAGTAAAAACACCTGCAACTGCTCACCCTGTCATGATGGAAGGGTACAAATTTTAATGAACATCCAAGTGAAAATTTAAGTTTATGGTATTTATTTTAGTGAATCAGTTCTTCCCTTTTCTTGGCTTTTTCTCCTGAAATAAATGCTGTGCCTTCTAGTACATTTGTGTTTAGCATAATGTTTAACTTATTTTATTTTTTTTGAAAGAAAATTTATAATTTGATGAAATTGATTGGCGGTGAGGGCCGACAGATAGTCACAACTGTAAAGGGAGAAATATACTCTTGTCACTTTTTAAAGTATACTCTGTGTTAAAATGAAAATAGCTCGTTTCACAGTAAGCCGATATTCTTAAAAATTTCAGGAATACTAATTCAATCAATTTTTAAAACGACTCAGATAACAGCAATACAAAGAGTTACCATAACAGGTTTATTCCCGACTTACAAGAGTTTGGGGGTGGTCTACAAAAGTAACACGATCGGTAGCGCATATGATGATCGCTGCACTGCCTGTTGAGGAATGATTATTCCACTCTTCATGTAATGCTCTCTCAAGTTGAGGAAGTGTCTGAGGCTGGTGTTGTCTCCTACAAATGCCGCTATCGAGCATGTCCCATAGTTGCTCAATCTAATGAGTAGACAGGCCACGGTTGAAGAACTGGGATGTTGTTTTCATGTTGGAACTGGGTGGTTAGATGAGCTTTACATACGTTAGGGCATTGTCATTCATAAAGGTTAGTCTTTGGTTTTGAATGGCTGCAACGACGTGTGGCTGAAGAATCTCGTCAATGTATCGTTGTGCTGTCAAATTGCCACGAACAGTCACAAGTGGGGCCTTGACAGCTTCTGTAATTCCTCCCCACACCATCACACTTCCACCACCAAAAGCTCTGGCCTGACTTTGGCATTGAGGAGCGAACCTTTCATTTACTCTTCTGAATACGCACTTTCTTCTATCTTAACATTCCAAAAGAAACCTGGATTTGTCTGAGAACATGTGGTTATTCCATACCTGGCGAGAACAACATGAATCGTATTCTTGCCACATCAAGCCTGTTTCTGATGTTGTAGGGCATCAATCTGGTGCGGGGAACTGGGCTTTTCCAAATTCTTTCGACCGTCTCAATACAGTTCCTTTTACTATTGGGTTGACAGGTCGCATGCTGTTCCACTCATCTCTGATTTGTCTTGCCGTTTTGCAACGATTCTGTAGATGCGATAGGCATGTAAAAAGATCCCATTTTGGAGTAGTTTTTCTTCTCCCAAGTTGACGGGGTCGATCCTTTTGTGATCCTGTTGTTCTTTCACAATCTATTGTTGCCTACACGGTTTTTCTTGTTACATTAAGATGTCTCGCAGCAGTGGATACTGTGGCAGCAGTGGATACTGAAACACCCCCTACGGATCATTCCAACAAGCTGATTTCACACATATTTTCTGTACGGATCATTCCAACAAGCTGATTTCGCACATATTTTCTGAGGCGTGGCATCTTGACAACGCAAGTTTTTATCACTGGCGAATTGTTATAAAAATGACAAAGCTTTGATGTGTACTTCTTTTTTAAACAAATCTTTGCCGTATCTTCAGTGATTCTCAAAAAACTCAAAACATGTAACTCGCACGCAGTAACAAAACCACTCACGCGTTCATAAATCTTAAAAAATTCTCCATCGACAGGTATATCACGTAGTCAGAGTGTAAATTTTTAAGTAATTGGTGACATAGATTTTTTTTTATTGGGCTTTAAAATGTGTATGAGAGTATATATGACTTGCCCATACTGTACTGCTGCGGAAACAGGCTTGTTAAAATCAGTATTCTTTTCCTAAAACAGTTGTGCTTTTTCTATATCATTTAGTTGAAAAACAATTTTTAATTAATTTTTAAAACTAGTGTATGGTATTTTGGATTTTTTCCTCCTCGTTTCTAGAAATCCATGGCATGTATCAGGACAGCACCTAAGGGAATAAAGGGTTCAATGGGATTCAGCTCAAACAAGTCGTTTTAGCATCAGGTTGGATTTCTTTTATTTCCTCTAGATCCACAATCAGTTCCCGCTGTCCTTTGAGTTCAGCCAGTACTTCCTGTGCTACTTGGCCTACCACTGCTCAAGCAACCGTTTCCGTACGTTCATGCTGGACTCTGAACTAGAGCGCGTGGAGGCGGGATGGCTACTGGAGGAACGTCGCCCGTCACTCGGCTCAGACTCACGCAGCGAGGACAGTACTGACCACCATGCCAAGCTGCACCTACCTGGACTCACTGATCACAGGTAATCATTTGTGAGGACTTCCGGATTTTTTTTGCTTTTCGTTGATTCCGTTTGATCGTAGACTTTTATCATAATATCAAAACTATGCTCTCTGATGTGATTTTGATTCACCGTGGAGCGCACCATTTGACTCTATTTGGAACTAAATGAAGGGCAAGGAGGGAAAGGTTACACACCCACTTTACAATGGGGAGGCTGGTATTTTGCCCTTCATTTTTGTGCCCATTGTACGTACCTGCACATTAATTTTTTCATAAAGAGCAAAGAATGGTGGCCATGACAGTACCTGGTCAGGGAAAATATAATTCAAGTCTATGCTCGGTCAGCAGTGTACTTACAATTTACCTGAAAACCTAGGGCTGGTGGCTTCACCTTCAGGAGGACTTTATAAACATTCTCCAGGACTCTGCCAATGTGATAGACCTGTAGAGGCATGGAAGCTGTGTTAGGACTTTTCTAGTTCCTTGTCTATTTGTTTACTCAATGCTTCCATTTCCGTTTTAGAATATTCATAGAAACTCTGCAAGGGTTTGATGTGAAGTTGTTAAATTAGAATGAATATTCTGTTAGGGCTAAAAGATTCCTCTTTAAAGGGTAACACCTACCCTCCTCAGTTAAGTTAAACTGAATCTATCCTCCTTTTATGCATGCTTTGGTTACACTGGGGGATAAATAAAGTTGGCTTTTCATTCTTTCATGAGTTGTTATTTTGTGCTGTGGTACGTAATTGCTTCTACTTTTTTCAGTCCATTTGTTTTTTAATGATTGAAAGTGGAATACAAGAAAATATTATTTTTATCCTCCTCAGGAAATTTGAGTTACTATTGCTAATTCAGTAAATGCTTAAGATCATTCAGAAGTTACATCAATGTCATGAAGTACACAACATGCAAATATGGACAATTTTTTCAAACACACACCTTTCCTGGTTGTCTCCGTGCTGTGCCCTCTCTTTGAGCAAAGGTCATCATGTCTTGTTCTAAGTAAGACACACTCCATTGACCACCCACCTTAATGTTTATAACTTGGCAAGATTCGCCGGATATTGCATATGTTCATGGTCATCTGCAATCTAAGGCACACTTCTCTGACCACCTACTTAAACATCTATATTTCGACAAGATTTGCGAGGTAATGCACATGTCATTGTAAGCTACAACTCGAGTGCAACATTTGCTCTTTTTTTTCTGTTCTCCCAGGCAAGGGATGTCAGACCACAGGCATGTCCCTTGTGGAGCGTCGCTGTGGGCTCACATAGACAAACAGAGCAAGTTGTCCCCAGCTTTCTTCAATGTGGCCTACGCTGTGGAAGAACAAGAGCCTGTAAGATCTTTTGTTATGAAGTCGTATATTCTGTTATGGCTTTTTCATAAGGCTGGAATACTACATGAACAGTAAAACCTGCTCTTATGAACAGACGCCCAAGAGAATCACCTGTTCAATCATCCTCTTCCCACTGCCAATCCCCTCTTGCGTTTTTTTTCTTCTATATTATGAGATTGTCCAAAAGGACCACTTTTTAAATTACTGTCTCTTTCACCATGGGTGTTGTCTTGGACAGGTTTGACTATATTGTGGGTTGAATGCCTTTTTCAGTATTGCATTGTTATTTTTTAGGCAGGGTCTCCTATTTTATGTCCATCTCCATTATTATTGAGACCGTGGATAGAAAACTATGAAAACTCCCAAAGCGACTGTAAGTCAAGCATGCGTTGTCCAGCTTTATGAGCCACACAATACCAGCAGAGCTGTATAGGGCTGGAATGAAGTATGAAAACTGCAAATTTATATAGGTTTAACTCCCCCTGCTACACTATAAGTTTATTTATGAGGCAGAACCTCTGAAGTTAAGAACCGTCTCCGATATGATGTGTCTGTGAAATGAAATACTAAGGGTAGCAATAGCTAATCCATTTCATGTGCTTTCATTGTTGTTTTTATTTTATTTTTTCACTGTTGAAAGATGTCTTGAAAGTTGTAATGGAATTCAGTCACTTCATTAGGAGGGATAGGAATTCCTTCTGACCATGTCCGAACATGTCACTGCATAAAATAGCTTTAGATTAATGTTTTGTGTTTTTGTACGCTCTAAGCAAAGCTCCCACAACTTCACAATAATGTCACAATTGTCCGTCACCTGTCCAACATGTTCATGGTATCGTCTCAGTCCCTTTATTTAGACAAAAAACACAGGATAACCATCTTCGTATTAACCGTGCACTGTTTTGTCTCAGCCTACTATAGTCTCCACTTTATATCTTGTGTTGATGCCCCCATATGACTTTTTTTTTTGCTAATGCGGACCCAAAAGTGCTAGTTGCAGTAAGTGCAAGAGCGGTTCAGTACTTCTCTTTGTCCATTCCTCTGCTTTAATAAGTTTTGTTCATCTTTTCTAGATACTGAGACCTTACTCCAACGTGTCTAACCTGAAGATCTGGGACTTCTATGTGACGGAGGACCTGAGCCGAGGCACACCGTATGACATCGATATTGAGGAGACGGACGGCCTGAGGGAGGAGCTCGAGGCAGAGGCCATGGGTGTCACACGCAGGCAGACTCTCAATGCCTGCTACCACAACATTGAGCGTGTGCAGCCCAATTGTTTCTGGTCAAAGATAGAGGTATTGCGATGGATTCTTTGTTTTCTGAATTTTGTCCATTCTTTTGAAGAAGTGAGATGTGTATATAAGAATGAGATTTTAGAAAGTCATCGCTTTTCATGATACCCTTTTTAATTTCGTAGAGAGGGTGGTTGATGGGTGCTCTAGTATGGTCTGCTCCTTTTTTCATGTCAATCGTCTATTATCCCGATCTCTCCTCTTTCTTTTTGTGTTTATTGCTCCCTTGTAACACATCTAATCTTGGGCACTTCTATGACATAATTTTGTTTCAAGTGTCGTAAAACTCTTACTAAAACTTTGAAAATTTCATGGAAGTCGTCACAAGGGTACATGTTTCTGCAGCCTGGATGTTCGTACAATTTGCCAATACATAACGCATAATGGGAAGTACATTATAAATAGTATGCTGTCCGCTAAGCAAGGTTAGACCAAAAACTGAAATGGCACTCAAGTGTTAAAAAAACTTCAACTCTGAAGTACAGATTGTAGCCCAGGTTATAGTTTGCCGTCTTTGTTGACATGTTGTTGCCTCCTCCAGATTTCTTTGCTTGTTTCTGCTTGTTGTTATTATTTGATTCTTCAATAGTGATTATTTAAATAGTAATCCGGTGGGGGGTTTTCAGGAGTCGTGTTTAAAGGCATATTATCATGCTGGTGTTGAATTTTTTTCAGAATAATATTGAAGAAAGAAGCTAGAACAAAGAGTTTCTCGAGCCATACAATTTTTTAAAATGACTATTTGATCATTTGATAGTATTTTTTTCTGTTTTTATCTGCTAATTTTTCTAGGTGGGGAAACAATTCTTTATGCTCAATGTGGGTATTTTGGAGCTGTGCACTTTTCCATGTCTGTCTCAGATGTCAGACTGGAATGATTTTGTTTTGTTCAACAGGAGCTCCATCGAATCGAGTGTGACATGGGAATAAAGCCATCACCCTGGAGAGCTGTCTGGGACAGACTTGAATGTCCAGGGAGAGAGCAGTTTCATAGACAGGTGACTGGAATTGTATTTTAGAATGCACTCTTTTGCTTTAGAAAAACAACTGTGCTTGCTGTAGTTAAAGGGCCTGATGAGATTTTTTCCACCTTAAATGTTCCACATGGGCGGTTGGCAGTTGCTCTGGTGTGGTTTGCTCCTTCTTTCCCCATCGAACATCTATCGTCCTTATGTCCCCTCCTTCTTTTTTATGTATGTTACTCTCTTGTAACACCTCTAATCTTCTGGCGCTCATATGACCTTATGCAGTTGTGAGCGCCGTAAAACTTCTACTAAAACTAAAGACTAAGATTTTTTTCTGCCTATAAGTCCTACAGCATAGCAATAATGTTAATACGGTTATAGAAAGAAAGGTATTCACTTTTCATTGTGCGTATTTTATGTTGTTATAAAAAAAGAAAAAGTTGGTGTACATATCATGAAGTTGCTGCTAACAAAATACTGCTGGGGAACTTAATGAAGCTCAGATTTACCTTTTTAAGATATTTGCTTGTTTTCTTTGATGCACATCAATTGAAAAATAAAATGATTTACCACAAATTAATTTTACATAAAGACTAATGAATGCATAATCTGTTGTAGAATCTTGAATAAATGCATGAACATATTTGCTCCCCATACCCTAGTTACTTATGTAATCGTCCTCAGCCCTTCCCCCCGTTTTCTACCCAGGTGTCACTGAACACCCAGCTGGTACGCTCACATGGCCGCTCGTTCCACAAACGCTCCACCCTGGAGATCCTTGTGCGTGGCAAGATGCTTGGCGAGGCAGCCCGAATATTCTCCCAGCCTCATCGCTTTGAGAAACACACGTATACGACCTCCACCTTCTGCGACCACTGCTCTCAGATGTTGTGGGGTCTCTCAAAGACAGGTCGGTCGCTGGAAAGGGGCTTTCTTTGTGTTTTGTCTCACCTTATAATGAGGGGCTCTCTGTGTGTTTTGTCTCACCTTATAATGAGGGGCTCTCTGTGTGTTTTGTCTCACCTTATAATGAAGGGCTTTCTGTGTGTTTTGTCGCACTTAAAAGATTAGGCTTATACCGGGCAATTGTGGATTGGTGATATGGTTATTTTGACATCTTTGGAAGTTTTATGCTTTATAATGGTGAATGTTTATCCATTTTTGTTGGCAAAGATATTCACCAGTGAATCAAGTGTACTTGATGAAAGAATAACTGTTTCAAGATTGTCTTTATCATCAGGTGCTACTAAGACTTAAAGTGCGGTTTCATATCTTAAAGATACTAGGGGGGTTCAGAATAGAAATGTTTAACCGTTTTGACATATTTGTGTGCTTTTGGGGATTTTTATTTCTTTAACTATTCAAATGATGTAAAGATATTTTGATGCCATCTGTTATTTTTAGGTCATGTTTTTTTTTCTAGCTCAGTGATTCCCCTCTCTATAGGAGCATTATTGAATCATCTGTTAGAATTTCATTTATTATTCTGTATGGCTAATCCCCTAATCACAACTGTATTGTAGCAAATTGCACATGTGCCTTTGCAGGAATGCGTTGTGTGGACTGCGGCTACAACTGTCATGACAAGTGCCAACAGTACGTGCCCAAAAACTGCCAGAAGCTGAGGGCCGTCGGAGAGTCGGGGGTGGCCACACAGAACCTTCAGAGCAATGGGGCGGCTTCCGTCAATGCAAGTGCTGCCAGTAAGTCATCAGTTTTTGATGTAGTTAAAGCAGGTGGCTTACATGACTTTGAATTGTTTGTGGTTCTCATGAACACTCCTGTTACAATCTCTGTTACCTGAGGGACATACAACATAGTCCTGTTTAGCACTCAATTCTTTCGCTCACATTTCATCTGTCTCTGCTCTTTGCCAAGTGACCTTTGGAGTTAATTGGATAAAGGAAAATAATATAAAATACTTAGTCTAAAAGATGCAGCATCTCGCATAAAGCCCCAAGGAATGAAAACCATGATTTGACTTTTTAAAAATGCAATTCTGATGCCAGGGCCACTGGACCAGGCCAGAGCCTTGTTGACTTCCATCTTTATAATGAATCATTATCAAGACTTTTTCATGCTATTGTTTAATGCCAGCACAAGAAGGGCAGTCTCAACAGTGTCCCAGCTGACAGACAAACATACTTAATGAAAAAGATTTCTCAGTATGGGATTTGAACCCACATATCTGCGTGCAAAGACAAAAGATGTGTCCGTCACACCACCACCATTTATCTGCTTCTTAAATAACCTTATACTTGTAGTGTTTAAGAAGGGCGTTGAACCTACACCCCACCCTCTTTCCCAGCATCTTCTGATGGTTTTGGCCAGTACAAGTCCAGCTCTCCTGAGCACAGGACACACGAGGGCCACTTGTTCAAGCAAGGTGCCCTCTTCAAACAGTGGAAGCAACGCTGGTTTGTTCTGGACTCCATGAAGCATCAGGTAGGAAGGGATTTGGTTCATATGGTGATTTTTAAAAATGTTTTGTATTTATTTTCTTATAACCCTCCTCCAGAACTGGTTTGTTTATGGGCTCTTCCTGTCTGCTGCTATTGGATGGAAATTCACCACTTTCAAGAGTCCCCATTTTTGTATGTATAGAGAAAGTCCACAGCGAGAAAAGACAGCAATTAGTTCATTGTCTGTTTTTTACTGTTATTTAAGGCTATTTTTGGCTAACTGAGGATAAATTCAAATTCAAATCTTTTGCTTATATGAAAATATGGAGTCTTAGATCTGTATACTCATAAGAGACAGTCCAACTTATATAATAGTCTTTGATAGCTAAGAATAAGAACCCTGTTCATTGAGTGACAGAGTTCTCTTTCTCTTGTCGTACATGGGAATGCAGCTTATGGTATACACATGACTATTTTCCCTTCTTGAACGTCCCGTCCCATCTTTGACTTTCGTCACACAGTAAGTTTTTTTTTTACATAGGTAAAGTGCTTGTAAGGCTTCTGAGTTTTTATTGTCTGTGTCCAATGGGAAAAATTATTTGATCCTGCTTGCCTTAGGATTAGAGGTATGAAAGGGGTGAGAAAAATCAAAATCCCTCCCCCACCCCAAGTATCATGTTTTCAAACCTGTAGATCTATGTTTCCTCATTGTACTGTCCACAGCTCCGCTATCACGAAAGCATTGACGACCCACATCCTAGAGGCTACATAGATTTAGCAGAGGTGGAGTCTGTCAGTTTGGTCAAGTCAATGCCAGGGGCTCCCAAGAGAGCAGATGAAAATTCTTTCATTGAGGTGAATTACCAATATTTTATGTCTGTAAATCTGGTGAGAAATGAATGGGTTATAACATTTATTGTTTTGTAGCCTTAAAACTGAAAAGTTCTAACTTGAGGGTTTGCTTCCACTTTTCTGAATTCTTGAAACTTTGGAATTTTGTGCGTTTGCATACTTTAAAAAAGCTTTGTTTTGTGAATTCTTGAAACTTTGGATTTTCATGCTTTTGTATGTTAAATTACTAGAAAAGCTTGCTTTTTTTTAGTAAATAGACTCACTACACGCTGGCAGGAGATCCAACCTTTCTAAAATCATGTTTGCTCTGATATGTGTGTGATTATATTTTTGCTGTGGTCCAGTTTTTACCTTCATACCTTCTGTCTTCTTTATTCCACTGTCCACTGAGTTAAGTGCTTTGTATTTGACATGGTCAGTGCTTATTCTGGCATTAAACACTTGTACACAATGTGTGTTTACGGCATGATGTATTCGTCCTTTGTGTGTATGAAATGTATTGACATTTTTCTTTCTGATTGCTAGATTCGAGCCATGCGCCGAGTGTACAACTTTATGGCTACAGACTCCAAGTCAGCCATAGACTGGGTGGACAAGCTTCAGAGTTGTATACAGTGAGAGGGCTAAGACGTCCTCCTCTGTTGGGATCTTAGGCTGTTTCATTACTTCACTGTGCTGTGAGGCTCACAAGTGTACAGAGCATTGTAGCTGCTGCTGCTCACTCGCTGAATGAGGACGACTGTGCTTCCTGCTTTGAGAGAAAGAAAGACGATTTAGAGAAATGTAGAGAATGACAGAAGGACAACGGGAGTGAAAGAAAGCTTTAAATGTGATTCATCATCCTCTGCTAGGCTGTGCTGTTTGCTCTATTGATAATCTTGTTGTTTTATAAAATCATGAAATAGTTTTTGTTCTTCTCTATCTAATGTTTTGGGTGTTTATTATGAAATTTAGTATATATGGAGATGAATTATGATTATGATGACGAAGATTATGATAATATTATTCTACATGCTTATGCTTGCTCCAGATGTGCATGCTTTTCGTTCACGTTATTTTTTTTCTAACTTGCACCATCTATGTGTATGTGTTTTTGATTCTGTGTGTAAATGTTACAATATCACACGTCTTCTTTCACACTGGTGATTTTTTCCCTCCAGAGGCTGGTTCACGCCATGGCCGGTATTTTGCTACAATATCATTATCACATTAGGAAAATTAAGTTCAGTTCCTGGGTGGTGGCCTTCAGTTCTTCTTGAATAATAGAATACAGCTGTATAGTATGATCGTGCTCCATAACTGGGACATGAGGAAATATTGGCTGTTTTTCATGGATTATATTTTTATTTTTTATTTTTTGGAAGAGAGAGAGGGGGGGGGGGGGTCATTTTGAGCTAATATCCACCCCTTCTGTTTAGTCAGTCTTTTTGAGGGACATGTTCTCAGAAGCTTGACCTATGAATAGTAGTGTGAAATTATTAGTCATGCGTGTCAGTGTGAAATTATTAGTCATGCGTGTGCTATAATTTGAAGATGGCGCAGAAGACAAATTTGTAAGCCATATCAACCATTTGCAAAAGAGAATTCCTATCATGATTCGTGAAGTAGATTTCTGGTGAAATTTCTGGGTTTAGATAAACTGCAGACGTTATTTTTATCCATATATTGAAAATGTAGTGAAGAGCTTTAGTCAGACTTGCACAGAATATTTTAACTTATTCTTTTGTAATTCTGCAAAAGAATAATAGTGTTTCTACTGTTTCTTGCTGTAATGAGCCTTTGATCACACTGACATTCATTTGATTTTCTTAGGTGTAATCTGAGTTCATTTTTAGCCGACTGTAAATCAATAATTTGGATCGAAGATTCTATGTGACTAATTGTGATACATCTTGGAACTGATCTGAATAGGAGCTAATGGTGCGGGGATGTTCTTACCTGAAAAAGGAGCTGGGTTAAGATCACACTCATTGAATATTTCATTTTTTGTTGTTCTTGTAGTATTTTGTATCCAAGGTTAGGACCTTCTATGTTCTGTAAATCCCATTGTCTTATGGGGGAAAAGGAAGTGCAGCTATTTTTTTGTCAAGTGTTGTGCTAGGTTATTTTTTTCTCGAGAATAAACAGTGATATTCAGGGGCTTGCCATACTGTTCATCAATAGGCTGTTGCTTTCCTGCCTATTGGGTAGGTAAGAGATGGAAGGGAGAGACCTGCCATTACTAAGTGAAGTTTGTATGTTGATGGGTTGTTTTAGATTGTGAAATGAGCATGTTTGTTTATTTAAGAAATGGATTGACAGATTATCAGAACTGGAATGACTAGAAGTCTACTCATGCTTTGTAAATGAATCCACTTTGCTTATTTGTGATAAACATGACTTCATACTTAACATACTTTGTGTTATTTTGCTGTCAATTGTCCAGCTATTTATTATCAGTTTATCCCTGTACATTGTCTATAACTCTTTTTTTCACCAGTTGCCATTCTTTGTGTCTCCTGCTCCTTTTGTGTGGTATTTACCTGAAACAGCCTTTCTTGTGCCCAGGTGTGTCAGTTTTGCTCTGAACTAAAACCAACAGTTAAGTCAAAAGTGGTATCGATCGGTGTAGCTACTGTATGCAGTTTGTTTTCCATGAACTTCTAGCTCAACATAGAGTTACTTGATATGCTCGGAAAATAATTTAAAATCTTGAAAATTTTGCTAGTATGTGCACAGTGTCTCCTGTTGCTTGGCTGTAGTATGCTCGCTACTTACCTGCATACTTTGCAGAGTGTTAGGCATAGTTAAGAGCATTTTGCTTACTTTAATAGTGGTGACAAAAAAAAATCTGTTTTCTGACATCATTAATATCACTGGATCTTTGAGTTGGAGGATGGCAGCAATCCTGCAAAATGGAATTGTAAATGAACTTTTGAGGAAAACAGATGCTTTTGGATATAATTTTGTTGACTCTGAAGAACTTTTGCTATCTGCAATATCAATATATTGCTTCTTGTTTGGACTCTATATATTTAGTAAATCCTTGGTGTTTTAAGAGACTTAACCCTATCCGTAGGCCTTGGGGTCATTTTGTACCCCCGGGGTTGTATTCTTCACATATTAGAATACTTCTAGTGCAAAGATCTCTTTGAAACTTTCAGTATTTCTCAAAAAATGATTTTTTCAGACTGAAATGCAAAGCGTACGGATCAGATTAACTAGTAAATTTCCTCTTTGGAAAGTGGTGGCACAGGATTCCCCACGTCGTATGGATACAATGGTAAAATACGACATACGAATAGGGTTAAGGAAGATTGTAATTTGGGCCTGAGATTTATATGTGAAGAGCATAAATCACTTTATGGGCACTTGAAAGTGTTGTTTGTATTAGGCTAGTCGCAGAGGGATCTACCATCGAAATAATATGCAACTACTGTGGTGCTGCCCATACAATTGATTATAGCCTGTTTGTATTTGTCTGCTGTCACTAATCATGATGTTGCACAAACAGTGGGAGGTATGGTATGCATCTGAGTCCTCTCTCGTAGTGGTGTTTGGAAGATGATGCTTTGCAAGTTAGTAGTGCAAATTATATTGTAAAATGTTTTATGTGTGGTGTGGGAGTATGTTAATGGTGTGTGAAGCTGTTGCACGAGGAAAACCTTCTGCTGCCAGTTTTGCTCATCAGCCTAGGACGCTAATGTTTTTTCTCTTTTTTTCCTCTTTAAACAGGACAGTAGTCTTTTATATAACTTGGCTGGAGAAAAAATTGGGAAAACACAAACCATCAATGGTGTACTATGAACATTGTTTACAACAATGCCTACATCTGTACTTTGCTGCTCCTTATCAATTGTCAGTTTTGTGATATTTAGTAGTTTGAACTGTGTATATCATACCAATGCGCTGGACTTCTGAGAAAATTTAAATCTTAATTCCCTATTTAATTAGATGTAAGAACAGAATCAGTCCGGTTTTTATGACATCAGGTCAATTACTGTACAATGTCTTCAGGTAGTTTGTGTGTGTCCATTAGATTGATTTGTATTGTTTGGTTTTGGATTGAGACTGCTTAGGGCGTTTGGCAGCTTCCTATTAGATAGAGCTTTTGTTAATAATCCTTATTACCAATATGCAAGGAGTTTAAGGGCACGTGCTTGTGCAAAGATTTACGCTAAATTGTTCTTATTGTCTGATTTTAATGCATTTTGCTCTGTTGCGATTTCTGTTATGTTAAACATGTTGGGGGTTTTTTGGTGGTTTTTTTGTTTGCAAAATGATTGAGACCTGTCCAAATGATACAGCTCAACTTTATAATTTTATAAATATATTGCTTTTGCTTCCCAGTGGCAAGATTCTGGGCTTTTATGTTTACACTCATCCACCCCTGTGCCCCCTACATCCCCTTACTCAAACTGAAACCCTATCCCAAACAGCCAATGTACAGTTCATTCCTTGAGTTGCTTTGTCGTATAGCTGCTTCTTTTGGCATACTCTCTGTTGTGTGTTGATATGGTTCATATTTTTGCTGTTACCCGACGGTTGTTATGAGCTTTTTGTCAGCTGTGTGCAGAAAGGGATGAATGAAGAACAAAAAAGAAGAGAAGAATTTTGAAGTTTGTGTGTCAAATGCTTGAGCTGGTAGGATAATGTGTGTGGGTATGTAACTTTGTGGAATCTGTCCCTGGCTCGATAGAAGCTTCCAAATAGCCATGGGAGCATTCATAGTTTAAGGTCGTTTTTCATGAATAGGGAGCTTTGGTCTTGCTGCTGTAGGAACTGTAGAATACATTGGCATAATTTTTTGTTAATGACTGTATTAAATGTAAGCCTGCTACCCTTGAGGGACTTAAGGGTTTAAAAAGGCAAGACTGTAGATTGTAAAGTAAATTCTCCATGAAAATTTGAATTAATATGCATATAAGTACAGTTGGGTTTTTTTAAGTTTTGAGGTGGAACAAGGATAAATATGCTTTATAGTGTTTTGAACATGCTCTATTTGTCACATTGTCAGTTGCAAAGGAGATGTTGTGCTTGAAACACAGTTTGAAAGAGCTATAATGTCCAAATGTAATAAGATTCCTCTGTCAGTGTTCTTGTTTTTGTTTTTTTCTCTTTAGACATAAGCCATGACAGATGTTATAGGTCTGACTCGGTGAAAGTTTGTTTGAACAACGCGACAGTTCTCACAAGCTCTACTCTGTGATCACAACAGAAGTTTTCTTGCTGTCTAGACGTGGCTTTTAACTCACAGTCTGTCTTTAATCACTTGGCTTTTGCGATTGTCTGACAGTACTGTCTTTGTTACCACTTTGTTTTTTGTCCAATGCTAAAATTCTGAACTTTCATTTTACTCCCGCAATGTCATATTAAGTACAGCTTTAGCGAGGTTCTGTCTGCACTGTGCACTAATCCTATTTACTCAATAGACTACCGTTTAACTAATCTTTGGAACATAGGGCTTTTTGATGAAAGGAGGATATGCACTCAATATAGTGACTTTCTAGCTTCTTGAGATGGTTACATATTTAGCTGAGGTCCATGAATTATTTTTGGTGTCATATAGTTTACATATAGATCTGAATCGTACAAAGATGAATGTCCTAAAAAACATTTTTTTTTTTATATTGTCCCCCATTTTGTGCTTCCGCTATATGTAATATGCACAAAATATTGGGTTTTTTCTTTTGGTGCCGAGAAAGTAGGCTACTCAGTCTTTTGAAATATCATGACTGATCTAATTGCACGCCATAAGTTCTCGAACCACTCATTCTTTCCTCCATCCGGCCAGTAGAATTATTGCCATTGTCTTGCTTTAGCATCTGGCACAATCAATCTGTTGGCTATAATATATGGTCATATTATGGTCTTCAGAGCACATGTTTTTAATCTAGAGTCATGTTATGTGAAAAGTTGTTGATCTCAATGAGCGGTCTTATATAATGTTATGAAAGTGTTAGGTTTGAGATTTACGAATGCCGGACTAGTGTTCTCAGGAATTGCTCATTATCTTAAAAATTTCGTCTCCCACTAGTGTTAAGTTGTCATTTTTCTGCAAAGGGACATGTTTTGTTACAATATTTGTTTGAATTAGTCTCTGACTCAATAAAACAATGCCAAAGTCTTTAAGAGCTCAAATTTTGTGCCTATAGAAATTGGAGAGATAACACTATCCACCCAGCATGAAATACATACAAACTGCTGCATGTTCAGATCTGAGACGGCGCTTGCTTTGTTATTGTTACTAACAGATTTCTAGCTTGTAAATGAAAGGTGTACAAACAAAAGCAGTTATAAGCTTTATTATTTTAAGAAGTTTTGTTGAAATGAAAGTGATTAGGCGGTGTTTACAGAACTGAAATCCAGCGTTATTCTTTATTAATTGTGTTGCAAAAGAAAAAGAGACGATTTAGCTTGTATTGCTTTTACTGTTTTATCCTTAATAAAGAAAAACCCTCATGATTTCAGTTGAGATAAGTCTCTTCATAAAAGTTTTGTATAGTGCTTTCTCTATTACCTAACTTGATATGATAATCTAATCTGACATTACTCAACTAAAAGGAAATTTTTGTTCACAAATGTGGAATCTTCTTGTGTACTGTTACTATCACAAAGTGTAGGTTTCACAAAATCGGGCTAATGAAGAAGTTTTGTCGCTTTCACATGGCATTTGTTGCTATGTAACTGAATGCACTCTTGTTCCCTACTGTTCCCCTGAGTATTTGGAAGAATGTTTTTGAGTTTGAACTTTAATGATGCTCAATTCTATCTTTTAACAATCAAGCCATTACTGCTGTTTCGAATGTGTACTCTCAGCCAAAATAGGACTAAAATTATTTTAGTTGAAAACTCGATTCAATATTTTTTTTCTGTGTAGAACAATCTTGCCATTAGTACGGGTTTCTTTTTTTGCTCAGAGAAATATTGGTATGTGCACGCATGTTGTCATCCTTCCTTTGAAGTATGCCTTATGAGGCTAGGAGCTTGATTCCATGCGTCACATTTTGATAATAAGTAAATAATTCCCTCTCTTTTTTTCTCAAGGATATGGGCTGCGCAGTTGTTGTAGTGTTTCTGTCAATCGCAGTTCCTATTGCATTGAAGTTCTAAATGATGTTTTGTGTTCTATAGCATAATCTAAGATAAGATTTGGGAATACTGTACTTCCATGTTCTTCTTTATTCAGTGCGACTGTTTAAAGGACCTTAAGTGCTGCTCCACTTTAGAATAATGTTCCTCAGATTTAGTCTCAGACGACTCGGAGTAAGTCCATTTCCATGTCAATGAACTGTCCATCAAAAAGTGTTGGACATGCTTCTCTTAGGGTTCATTGGAGGCTATTGTTCCAGTCAGCTCACCCCGCCTCCCACTGATTGATTAAAGGAACTGATAAGATAGTTAATCATTCAGGTGCAGAAGCTTTTTTTTAAATAATTATGCTTCAGATGTTTTGATTATGTCAGAGCTTACTGTGAATCTGTGAAGAGGATATTTTGAGAGAAATGGTTCAGACAACTCTTTGTCTCAGAACTATTTTGTCCAAAGTGCCTTTTTACTTCGGACAAAATAGTTCTGAGGCGACCAACTGTCAATGACACTGGTGGTAGTCTATTACAGTTAGTATTGTGGGAAGGCCAACCTTACTAAAGACTCTCCCATGCGACTAATGCAGTTTGTTTGAAACTGTGCTAAGCAGCTCAGTGTAAAAGTGGTGGA